AAGAAGGACTGTGAGTGTACATTGAAAATAAGCCTGCGAGGTGGCATATCACACTTGTGTCTGAAGCTGTGCTGGTGAGAGACTGATTATTGCACGCCTGCTTTTAAACTTAAAGCTCTTTCTTTCACGTCTTGCAATTAGTATGTATCCAGCTGTTACTGTGAACATGAACAGGAGGAAAAGCAGTTGTGAGACTGTTCTTTTATTACCAGGCCCTTTGTGGATAGAGTTACAATTCTAGCTGGTCCCGGACCATACACCCAGAATGGATTTTCTTTTTCATGCTCTTTTCCTATGTTGTTAAAATTTCTTTTTCAGAGTGTCACGTGATGGTAAATAGCCAAATTGCTGTTTCTTGTCAGGCTAACTAGTCCCGCTCTGCAGCACACAGCCAGACTCTGGCCTTTCAGCTTCAAAATGGTGCAGTCTCTTTCCATTTTTATTCGCAGTGTGGGTTTCTGGCCATGTTTCCTGAGCATGGCATGCGTGTTCTAGTTTCAAATAAAACACAAACGTGCCTAGGGACTCTAGTTTCCCATTTGCCTGACACCTTTTCTCACCATGCTGGTGGTTTCTGCTGTTGCTGCAGTGCTCAAAAACCCCTTTATGCCAATCAGCAGGGCCCCTGTCCTCACAGTGGGCTGGGAAGAGCTGCTGCTTCTCTGACTTGGAGGGAATGGAAGTCATCATTTGCCCTTTAGAGGCAAGTGCTTAAAGCTGAGCGACATAGGGGTGGAAAGGAAGGCATTTCCCCTTTCTCTCCAGATGTCAGCCCTGGTTGAGTGGGAGAGGCTGGTTCCACAGCCAACCATGAGTATCAAGCCAACGTGTGCTATCATCCCCAGCCCTGGGATGGGTTTCTGGCTCAGGTCTCTCACCCACCCAGACACGTCCACCTGTGGTCTATGCTATTCACCACTGGGAGTTCTTTGGGGAGAGGCTGTAGTTGTGGGGACAGGATGCCTGGTTGGGACACTCACCCTTGAGATCTGTGAAGCCTGCATAGACACACAGTGTTGTGTTGGTACTGTGGCTGACACCCTCTGCCTCTCCCATCTTCCCAGCCTTGGATGGAAGCTGGAATCTGCTTGGCTACATGCAGTCTGGGGCATCAGGAGGAGACGGGGTCAGTGATTGTGGCTAGAGTGAGCCTAGGGTTCCCTAGTGGTTCATTTCCACCCCCATTCATCAGTCAGAAGTTGGAAGCCTTTCCCACAAATCTTAAATAAGGACCATCAGCCTGGAACCTTGGTTCCTGGTCTGACCCATGTGATCCACATGGGGCTCACAAAGTGTTGATAAAGTTGGCCACTTGCTCAAGCCTCATTGATTTTTCTGCTTGACTCAACCAGCTGTGGTCACTCTTATCGCCCAGCCCTCAGGACTGTCTTCAGTTAAACTGCTTTTAGATTTGGGCCAAGCAGGGTTCCCATCTGATTTTCTCATGACTTAATTTCCCATTCCTTCTCAAGAATGCTTTGGGCCAACCAGTCTAAAGAACGGTCTGTCAGAGTCTTTCAGGAAATATGATTCGTCCTCAGGAATGTTGATATTTGCTCAGATTTGTCAAGATGGCTTCAGCTTACTTCAGAAGCGATAAAAAATGGGAACAAGTCACAAAGATTCATCTTTGTGGGTAGTAATTCAGTTGGGTAGTAAAACTCAGTTGATCTAAAAGGGAAAAAATGCTTCAAAGAGGATGCAGCTACTATCCTCACCAAGGAAGTTATTGACAGTGAGTTGAAAATTCTAAACTGAGGTCAAAGTTAAGACTCAAAGGCAAAACTCTCACATTTAAAGCATGAAAAAAAAAAATGTCTGCAGCAGCGACAACTTCAAACAAAATCTAAGAGGGAAGGAGGGAGGGAAGAAGAAAGGAAGGACAGAGAAGTAGCCAGTTATTGAGAGGGTCTGTCAAGAGAGTCATTATCATCATAAATAGTACAGTTAATAAAACAGAGATGGTACAGCCTTAGACTCCATTTTACAAATGAAGAAACTGGGGCTCAGAACAGTTTTCTGCTTTTAGTTTTTAGGCACCAACAACTCAAAAAATACACACTTTACAATGATTTTTAATATTGGGTTTAAAGCCCAATGAACTAATAGGAATTTGGACCCCTTGGGGACAAAACCAATATGAATTAGTGAACAGGGTAAAAAATTTTACAGAATTTTTTTTCCCAATTATTTTCAAGCCCATCTCAGTTAACTGGTGTGTCCAGAGCACTTGGTACAGTTGGAAAGGAGAGATTTCAGACTGAAAGGTGGGAATGCCAAACCTCTAAAAACCACACTCAAAAAGCTGCTAAGCTGAAAACTTTAACAGCAAGGAAAAAAGCATTAGAGGTTGTTCTGGAAGACTTTACTCCTCATTAAATCAGAAACTCAGTTTGCCAGTACAGCTCACTGCCACTAGGTCAAATAACTGTCATTCCACATCAGCAAGACAAAACAGGGAGTATTTGAGTTTCTCAGGGCGCCCGTTTTAATAAATTGATCTTTAATTGTAATTAACATGATGTAAGTGGTATATCTAAAACCCGGGCAAGAATTAACTCTAAAATGTTATAAGTAATCTACCTACCACTGTATTTAGACCAAGGATTTCTAAGTAAAGTTCAATTTAAACTATACCCTGCTGAGATGCTCACAATTTCAAGTTAGAGATAATGATGAACTGGTGATGTTTACCTTGTCAGCCCCACATCAAGGCTATTTTCCTCCAATTGTATTCTACATATACTCTCAAAGAAACCTGGAGACAAACTGTGCCGATAAAGATGAGAAAGGTCACATGGAAACTTTCCTCACCCTGCTAAATAATTTTTAAATACTAAGGTTTTGTAACAGAGTCGGTAGGAACGTAATGAACCCTTATTACATTGATAGCACCAAGCTCTCAGTCCTGAATGGTATTAGGAATTTGGTGTTATTTGTGGTTTCTTCAAATAAGGGATTTGAAGATTTTTCTTATGTGCAGAAATTTTCATTGTGACACATTTCATGCCATATTGACAGACCCTTCTCAATTCTTTAAGACCAAGGCCTGAGTCTTATTTTTTTGTCTTAAGGTTCCTCCACTTGGACACTATTGACACTTGAGCCAGATCATGCTTTGCTGCAGGGGCCGGCCTGTGCATTGTAGGATGTTCTGCAGCCTCCTCAGCT